TTTATACATAACATACAGACACTTCAATTTCATTTATATGTATAGATGATTACTTACCCAGTACTACTTTGCAAGTGTTCATGCAGTCCTCCTGTGTTAAGAAGTTGTTCTGGTTGCCCCTACAGCCCCCATAATTGAAGGGGATGCACATGCCCTTCATTGCCACGAACGCCCAGCGCTGGTACAGCCCGCGGCACGGCCCTTGCTCCGGCAGCTCCATGCATATACCTGTTACATGGGAACATTTCACGTGTATAATAAAAACCATAATTTATGCAATTTTTTCTACATACCAATAATTGTTTAAATTATATTAATAAGGTGAGAATGGTAACCAAATATTTGTAAGCCTTCTGAGGTGAAACATAGTATTACTTATCATACCTTTTCCACCAAGTTTGTAACTTTTTACAAATTAATTATTTTTAATTTGAATTTTGAATTTGAATTTGATTTTGAAATGTTACCCTCCTTCCGGGGCAGTCAGGTAAGAAGCGTAATCCAGTTTTGATTGTCGACTGAATTATGTGCCCAGGGAGTCTAAAAGTGCCAAATATGAAATGCGTTTGATGCGTGGTAAAGCCACGATGCAGTTATATTATGGTTGTAACATGTATGGATCGACTCGACCGGAGTACGACCATGCTCTAACAGAATCATCATTATTATCATCATTACAGCCCTTCACAAATCCACTGCTGAATATTGACCCCAAGGAATGCAACAAAACACGGTCCTGAGCCACCTGCATCCATTGACTTCCTGCATGTCTTACTAGGTCGTCACTCCATCGAAAGAGGGACGCCCTACACTTCGTCTGCCGGTACGAGGCTGCCATTCGAGAACCTTTCTTCCCCATCGGTTGTCGGTTCTTCGAGCTATATGGGCGGCCCATTGCCACTTCAGCATACTTATTCTTTGGGCTACGTCGGTTCCTCTGGCTCTACTGCGGATATCCTCGTTTTTAGCCCTCTCCATAGCTCGCTGAGGAACTTTGAGATTCCTCATACGGCCAGCAGTGAAGGACTACGTCTCAGATCCATAGGACATCACTGGCCACACGCACTGGTTTTACAATCTAGTTTTGTGGTTTTGAGGTATGTCTGACGAGAAGATGTGTCGTAAACTCCCGAACGCTGCCCAGCCGAGTTGAATCCGTCGATTGACCTCTCGGTCGAAGTTAGACTTAGGTAAGTCCAACTTTGACCGACACTGACTCGGACTATTTGTCCCAGGTAAACATATTTGTAAACAACTTAGAGCTTAGTGCTCCTAACAACTACCGGCATAGGTGTGACATGGACGTTAAACATGATTTTTGTTTTGTCCATGTTCATCTTAAGACCTATCCGTTGGGAGACACTATTGAGGTCATTGAGTATAGTCCTCAAGTCCTCCAGCGATTCTGCCATAAGGACTATATCGTCGGCAAGTCGAAGGTGAGTGATGTACTCGCCATTGACGTTAATACCGTATCCTTTCCAGTCCAGTAGCTTGAAAACGTCTTCCAATGCAGCGGTAAAGAGTTTCGGGGACATAACGTCACCCTGTCTTACACCTCTCTGCATTTGGATAGGTTTCGTACTCTGATTCTGTACTCGGATAGCCATCGTAGCTCTACTGTACAAACACTTGGCACCGCTGAAGGGACTGACAGATTCGTATGGTGAGTGTAGAGAACCGGAGATCCTTTTTACTGGAAACGAGGCATTTCACTTCAGCCCTCAGTGGTGACAACGTATCTGCATTTTTATTCTCAAATTGAGGATAAATGTCGATATTTTTTTTTATAGGAAAGTTGACAAACGAGCACACAGTCCACCTGATGGTAAGTGGTTACTGTGACCCATAGACATCTACATCTATCATCAATAAAGACTCAAATGCAGATGCGTTGTCACCCGTGAGGACTAAGATGGAATGCCTCTTTGGCAGTAAAAAGGGTCTCCGGTTCTCTACACTCACCATACGGTACACAGCAGCGTTAAGCTGCTATTTTACGCTGTTTTTCTGTGAGAGCGTGGTCCTTCCCCGGTCGAGCCGACCCATTCGTGCTACAACTATACTACTAATATAGCTGCAGCATGGCTCTACCACGTTAAATCTATGGGCCACAGCATGCAATTACTATCAGGTGGGTGGTGTGCTCGTTTGTCACCCTTACTCCATGAAAAAATGCCATTAAAATTTAGTGGCCTCAAAGATAAAGCGATATGTATTGACCAAAACAAGTAATTAGTGATGAAAGCAGCATCAAGGGTGCGTGGCATCTGGTTAGCGTTTAGTAATCCGCTTATGTTACGTGGTCGGTGAGTATTACGACGTTGTATGGGTACGTTATTTAATAAATGTTTTGTATTATTTTAAGTACAGTAAACATGGTCGATTATGCGAAATCGTACCAAACGTTACAACAGTAGGAAAAAAATTTAAGTGTTGAAATTGTATACGGATGACAACAAAAATAAAAATTGAGATATTTATTTTGTGACTGAAGCGAGCTTATTTTATAATTAACATGTTTTGCTTATGATTTGGTTAATTTAGTCACAATATCACCTTGTTAATAATTATTATAACTATTAACAAAAAGTGAAAACCGACTGAAAGATAATAATATTAATTTTGCATGTTATTTGTAATAGTGAGACATGTGCACATTTTTAACATGTACCACCTTTATATACCATGTTCTTACGCAAATAAAAATTCTGATTCTGATTCTGATTCTGAATTTAATTTGCTAAAAACGAAGTTATTTATTAGGGTTGGAATTTTTTTTCCTAAATTTATATGGGACCACCCTTGAAGTGTGAAAAATTGGTTCACAATCTGCGAAGATATCACGTAACATACAGACAAAAAACACTCGAACTGAGAACCTCCTCTTTTTTGAAGTCGGTTAATAACTTTCTTTCCTTTCCGGTTTTTGTATATCAATATTTCCTTCTTTAGTTTTATTCAATTCCTTATGGAGGTACTAATATTATAAATAAATTATTTGTCATATTTTTGTCAATAGTTTTTAACCTATTGGATGATTTTAGTTTACCGGTTCGATTAATTTTACGGATTTTATCTCGTACACGTTTTATACGTGGTAGAGCCATGCTGCAGCTATATTTGTAGTATAGTTGTAGCACGAATGGGTCGGCTCGACCGATGAAGGACCACGCTCTCACATAATACGAGCGTTAAATAGCAGCTTAACGCTGCTGTGTTTCGTATGGTGAGTGTAGAGAACCGGAGACCCTTTTTACTGGAAATGAGGCATTTTATCTTAGACCTCACGGGAGTACAAAAAAGTTCTGCGGTAACACACAAGAAAACATACAGTCGAATTCAGTACCTACCTCCTCCTTTTTTAAGTCGGTTAAAAATATAAAAAAAAAACTGAGGCATTATTTTATATATGTGATCACCACCATGCTGGTTCTATGAAGATTCATTTAAAATTGTATAAACAACTTTATTGTTAAGTGAAATTATGTTTAAAAAAAGTCCCGCTGGGTTTCTTGGTGGTTCTTCCCCGGACAGAGGTATTTTCCGAACCAGTGGGAAATAAAAAATGACTTTCAATAAGTATTATGTAATAATCAATATAACATAAAAATCATTCTATTCTATTGTATAAACATACACTTGAAATCGATAATAGCAACTTTTCAATGATGATGACACTGTGTGGACCACTGCGTACGTAACTAATAAGTTCACCTGAGCCCCAACTGGCGACATCCAGATGTCAGCGTAAGGTTATTAGCCCTCATTGCAACATTTACCTACATATAATCATAATTGCATGTATTGTAATTAAACACCGATTCCTAGAAACGTGTGTGAACATTTGTTTGTCTACCGGACTCGATAATGTGTCCTAATGGAAATCCATTAATGTGAGATCGAGTTTACGCTGACAATAGTGCAAGGTAGCCATTACAGCTAAGGAGGTCTTATAATATTCTTATAGTTAACTTTTTAAAGTAGCTAAGCGTCTAGTCAGATGTCTACGACCAAAGCAAATAAAAAATTTAAATGAAAAAATTAAATGTCTTTAAGATTCAGGAGAAATTCTTATTGTGGTGGTGACCGGACTTAAAGGAGGATCGATGTAGGTGTCTATGGACCACATTATTCACTTTCCATTAGGTGGACAATTTAGATTTTGTCACCCTTATTTCTAATAAAAAAATCCTTACTTTTTTCATAGGCGAGGAGGCAAACGAGCATGCGGCTCACCTGATGGTAAGTGACTACCGCCGCCCATGGACAACTGCAACACCAGGGGAACCAGGGGAATTGCAGATGCGTTGCCGGCCTTTTAAAAAGGAGTAGGCTCTTTTCTCGAAGGTCCCTAAGTCGTATCGGTCCGGAAAAATCGCTGGTGGTAATCGATTCCACAAGGAGGTCGTGCGAGGAAGAAAACATCTTCTGAATCGCACAGTGGTGGACCGCCAATCATCCAGGTGGCATGGATGGTATCGCGAGTTTTGTCGCGCTGTGCGATGGTGAAATTGAGCGACTGGAATTAGTCCGATTTTTTTATTACTTAATTACAATTTCTTAAAATTCGTTTCGTTTTCACTTTTGGTTTCTTTGTATTATATTTATGTATTAGTGTCGATGGTCAGCCGATGTCGTTTTCATAATATATCTTATTTTAGGTTACAAAATATTCCAATAAATATAGACCTACTTGAAAGAGAGAAAAAATTATACTTTATGTCACTTCCATAACTGTAACGAATCTAACAACACTCCGTATATTCCAACAAGCCATTTAGGCTACAGGTGTGTCAAGAAATAGACATACATACATACATACACACACTCGAAAAACTCCTTCTGGTGCAGTCGGATGATAAGCATTAGAAAATAGAAATAAGTAAAAGTAAACCACGAAAACTATTATATTGTCACTACCTATATTAAGTTGTTAATATATATTACATTATATTGTTAATAGTCGTTAGTAGTAATGTTATAGTTTTCTTTTTTAGGTTGCTATGCTCGGACATTCCCTACTTGATAGACTTCGTAATGAGAATATCCGCAGTAGAACCAGAGAGACCGACATAGCCTGACAGTAAGCTGAAGTAGCAATAGTCCGGCCACATAGCTCCAAAAACTGTTAATCGTTGAGAAAGAAAAGCTCTCGTGCCGGCAAGCGAAGTGTAGGACGGCCCCCACTACACCTGTGAGTAAGAGTCAGAGGGAGTAAGTACCGTGCTATGTTCAGTAAAAGTCTAGTCAAGGACTGTAGTGATGATAACACCCGTTAGATCAGACACATCAAAATTATATAAAGAAATACTCACGTTTGGCGGTAAGCATGTCAATGGAGCAGTCCTCGCGCTCTTGGCAGGGCCTTTGTTGCAGCAGCTCGACCCTCGAGGAGCAGTCCTGCTGGCGCTCGGCTGGCACCAGAAGCAGTCGCGTACGGAATCGAACCCCACGCCCGCACGATGCAGAGCATGGCGACCAGCCCGTCCATTCTGTGGTGGGACAAGCTGGGTCCGACACGTCCCTCTCCTGCTCGGTGCACTGCGGCTCCATACACTTGCGGTTCTCCTCTGGTGGACCAGCAAGTTCCAGGTTAATATTAGTATATACATTGTAAATTAATTTTAAAAAATTCTTCAAGTTTTTCATAACAATATAGCCTCGATCCCTCCTGGCATTGGTCACTATCTGTTCGTAAAGTTTTATCTTAATTGGTTCAGCTATTCTCAAGATTATCCCGGACAGACAGATGGACAAAAATTTCAAAAACCAGAATTCCAACATCATATTAGATACCTGAATTACGCTGTGTTTTATATAAAGAAAAGTAAACATTTTAACTTTGATAACTTGCATTAACTTAAAACATAATTGCAACTGATATAATCTATACATATAAGTAAAAGTGTCTGTCTTTAATATTGAAATAACTGGCTTCTATTAAGCTCGAGGGGTTATTTTAATGCTAAAACAAACACTTTTGAATTTTTGACTGTCTTTCTGTTCTGGATAATTTTCTTAATGGCTGAAGCGATTGTGATGATACTCTACGAATAGATAGAAAGCAACGTCAGGGGGCGATCTAGGCTATATTTGATGCGGAAAACTTGAAGTATACTTAAATAATTTGAAATTAAAAATTTTGTACAGCCGACTTCAATATAAGTTATTAAGAATAACTCAAAAACTATTTGTCTGTCCTTGATCAATTTATATGGGACCACATGGGAAGCACCAGCTTTCAAATAAAAAAAAATCATCGAAATTGGTTCACACAGTAAGAAGTTATAAGGTAACACACATAAAAAGAAACATACAGTTCAATTGAGTACCGGCTCCCTTTTGAAGTCGGTAGAAAAAAAGTGTGTAAGTGTGTAACGTAACAAAACAAAACGAGACAATTACCCACTGAAATTGTCGCTTTAAGGTGTCAGTGTGCGTGCGCATCGTAACAATTTCATGGTGTCGTTTTTAGGTGTCGGTGTGCGCGTGCATCGTAAAAATTCACTCTCATAATTTTTCCCAAACGCCCCAAAAGAAGTGTAACTTCAAAAAAATGGAAAAAGTAATGATCTTTAGTTATCTTAAATCTAACTAACGCCATAGTAATAGATTATGAAGGCAAAGTCAGCTTAGGTCGCTGATTTAAATTAAAAGTGAAATTGTACTTTCCTTTATATTATCTAAACGAATACTTTAGAAGATACCCGTTACTGTTATAGAGTATTAAAGTTCACTGCTGAACATATGGCAAATATCCCTATTTGCCATAGTTGCCACGCATGGCAAGTGGATTGGCAACCACAGTTTATTTTTTATTTTTAGTCGTTATTAGGAAGACGCTGCTGCACGTCTCCTGATTTGTTTGTCTCTGTCGCCACTTACGGCACCCACGGGTTGCTATAGGGTAGCGTATTCTTACACTACCAATACGCGGCCAAGAAGAAGATATCACAGATTCAAAATTACGCGCAAATTCAAGTTGAGTACCTGTCGGCACCAGGGGGCACTTCTTGTAGCCCATGTGGTTGAGGAAGCTCCTCCTTCTGGTGCTGATACCAATGCCGCAGGTCACCGAGCACTCGCTCCACGGGCCCCACTCCGTCGTCTTACACACTCCCTCCAACTCTTCGATCGGGGCCGCGTTTGATTCCTCCTCTTCTTCGTTCGCATTATTGTCCCTAATGGAATTAAAAAAAAAACGGCTTAGAAATAATTACACGGGAATAGTGACATCATGCTTAATTAAAAATATAGACTTAAAAAGATTTCAACGTGGTAGAACTACGCTGCAGGTATATTATGGTTGTAGTATGAATGGTTCGGCTCGACCGCGGAACAAGCTCTCACAAAATACCAGCGTAAAATAGCAGCTTAGCAGTGTTTCATTCGATGAGTGTAGGGAACCGGAGATCCTTTTTACTGGAAAAGAAGCATTCCACCTTAGTCCTCAGGGGTGAAAACGTATCTGAATTTTAATTCTTAATAGAGCTTAGATATAGATGTCTATGGGGCACAGAATCCACTTAACATAAGATGAAATGTGTGCCCGTTTGTCACCTTTATTCTATAAAAAAAATGTGGGTGTGGTTGTCGACACGGCCGTGTTTTACGTGAACACGGGTACGTAACGAAAAGACCTCAAAATGGTGGTGTTCCACCTCCGCCGTATGTGAAGCGATTGAGTGTAGAGTAGAGAGTTGGATGTAGATGATACATATGTAACTGCAATACCAAACTGTATCCCATCACATATTATCATCAGTTTTCTGAATTGCCTCCTACTATGGAAGCAAAACAAAGAAAAAAAAAAGAAAAAAAGTAGACGAAGTGTAGGGTGGCACACCACTGGATGGAGTGATGACTTGGTAAGAGATGCAGGAAGTCGATAGATGCCTCAGGACTGTGCTTTGTGGCATTCCTTGGGGGAGATCTATGTCCAAAGGTGAACTTGTGAAGGGCTGTAATGATGATGATGATGAAGGAAGCAAATTTAATGACGTATTCATGTCGAAAAAGACTCACTCGCACTCGGGCACGTCGGCGACGCACATTTCCTTGGAGACGAGCTGGCGGTCGCAGGAGAACATCTGCGCCTTCTGCGGCATGCGGTACTCGCGCGTGCGCATGCGCAGCCCCTTGCCGCACGACACCGAGCACGCCGACCACGCGCCCCACTCCGACACCGCGCACTCCGCTACACACACACAGTACCGTGAAACCTAGCAACTTTGCCATTTTTGGAACGACTTAAAAGTTTAGGACCAATTTACCAACAAAAAATCTAGTCTCAGACTGGGCGTTAATGTTAAATGTGACTTTGTATTCTTCATAGATTTGGTATTTATTAGTAATTTAAACAAATACTAATATTAACATTAAATAGACAAAATACTCAAAAATAGAAAATGGCAAATTTAACCTCACTTTGTGGCAACTTTGCCATCAGGGTTTATAAAGAAAATAATAGGATTTGACTTAAAGGTTGAAGGTAAGTTTACCACATAATATAATACACAACACTTACGAGCTATGATTTGTTCCTTTAATTGTGTTGTAAATAGCAAAATTTACTTTTGTGGCAAAGTTGCACTCCTATTTTTCAATATTTCATACAAACTTGAAAATATGCGTCAGGGTTGTTAAAAATTCTTGATCACGTAGTTAACTTAATTTTTTTATTATATAAATCTTGTCACAATAATTTCTTAAGCATAAAACTAAAATATTATATCAAACAAAATACTGTCGTTTAAAATTAAAAATCAAGTTGGTGCAATAATAAAGCTTAAATCAATTATAGAATAAAAAAACCTTGTCACAATCTTTTTTAACAAGTATTCGTTTTTATTATTAGTCATCATCACCATTTTACTACGGGTCGTCATAAAATGATGTCAGGTTATAGTTATTGTAATCAATCGAAATCTGGGGGCACGGTAGTGCCCCCGTCAAGTCGAGCAAAAAAGCGGCACGGCCACCTTTTCTCGAAGCAGTTCAGGCCATTTTCCAAACCCTATAACTTCGTTGTGGATAAAATTAGAAGCCTGAATTTTCAGTAACTAAATAGGTACTTTATAAAGTCGGTATATTTAAAATTTCATTAAATTTGAACTAGTAGTTTAAGAGTTATAACTAGTCAAAGTTTCTTAATTTTGTCACTCACTGACTGACCGATCATCAAAACTCTAAGGCACTTTTAGCAAACATAGAAGCTTCAATTTTGGAATACAATTATTGTTTAGTATATAAATCAAGGAAAATTTATAATATTTTACAATCTCGGTCCAGTTTTCGAGATACACCAACTGCATAAATAACTTTGTAATCCCATATAAATATATAGGATTACAAAGTTAAATTTTTTTTGCAGTGAATGAATCAGTGTACCTATATATGTATAATATAATGGAATAATAGGTGTAGATAGGTACCTAGATATAACTATCTACAAAAAGAAATGAAATGTCATCAAAAACATAACTTGTAAAAAAACCAAGTCTCGCAACTCAGTTCTTCTACCGTAAAAATTGTGAGATCCATGTAATACCAAGTCGGTTAATACATTCAGTTCCTACTTAAGAGTTCTTCTGGCTCAAGTTATTACGTAATTAGCTAACCTAACAACATCTTATATTGACCATATCAATATTAAAAATCTTTTATGTTTTAAATACATAGATTGACTTGGCCATGTTCCTTCACTCTCATAGTCCGATGGGACGGTTACCGACACGATCGGAGAGAGATCAGACGCAGGACCAACGGCTTTACGTGCTTTTTGAGGCACGGGGGGTTAAACACCACTAACTTCCTGTATCTGGCTGCTACTGTTCTTAATTGTTGATGAATTTAATTCTTGTTAGAAAAACCCAATAACTGATTTTGGCCCGACTCGGGATTCGAACCCGGGAGCTCGCGATCAGCAACTGCGTTCATGACCACTAGACCAATTAGGCAGTCACACACAACATATAAGTATATACTTGACGGCACCTTGGCGCAGCAGCTTAGCATTGAGTTACGGCGCTAAGGGTCGCGTGTTCGTATCCCACACGGAACAGGTGTGTTTGTCCTTGTGAAATTTATTATTTAAACAGCCTCCATTGTACACGAGAAAATCCTGTATCTTGTACAATTAAATATGAAAACATTTAGAAGCAGCATTGTAGCGATAACCTGTTTCCTAGTGTATTTTTAATGATGCACTCCTTAGTAATAATTATAATATATATAAAATATTTTTTTAAACTTTAATACTTTTTATTGATTAAGTCCTACATATTTTCTGGGACTTTGTTTGTGAAAACGTATACATTGGCTTATGAAGGTATTACTGACTTTTTGGAGTCGAGTAACTGGTATAACTAGCTTGTGGCTTGTTCCTGGCATTTACAGAATGTACATATCTGCCTTATTAAAACTAGTTTTGTTTTTACCAATCACACGATTTGCTTCTTTGTTCATAATGCGTACAGCGATGAAGAGCAATGAAGTGAAATAATTTGCCATCGTCTTTGTGCGAGTGTCTTCAAGGCAGGAGTGAAGAAATTAGGTCAGTGCGCTTTACCATCTTTCAATACATCACCACT